TATATATATATATATTATTGGCTATTACAATCTCCCCTCCTTATAAAGTTGCAACCTCGAAATTCATGAATTTCATACCAACTAATTATTATGTAGATTAAACATTAACTATTCACAAATCTTTAAGAAAATCTAATTTTTGTGACTTGAGAATTAAAGTCCATCTGTTAAATTCAATATCTAAGATAAGATAATTCAACTGAACAATCCCCATACATCAGAATCATAACATTATAACTAACATAACACTCCGACTTCTAAAATAAAAGTACATAACGATGCTCAACTCCACCCAATTAACATGACATCTAAATGACAAATCATCCCATCAATGTCTATGCATCTGCATCAGTGGAAACATGTTCTTTGGACTCCTGTTGAGTTAAGGAAAAGACTTTTGGTCGAGTGTTTTGTCTTGGTTGCTCCTTACGAGTCATAGTACCAACTTTTATCATTCTCTACTAACCGCTGCTAAAAGCAAATCCCTCATGAAAATTCCTTTGAGTTGAATCCTTTCCTGATTTAACATCTGATGTGAATTTCTAAGCAGAATTAGGGTAGTTTCTCATCTGATGCTCAGGTGGCCTGCATAAGTAACACACCTTCAAACCCAATAGATATTCATCACAGTGTTGTTTCTGACACTTAGCACATGACTTTATAGTGTTGCTGTCAGTCTGACTGATAACTTTATTAGTATATGTCTTTATTTTCTTCCCGTTAGACATGAAAACAAATTATTTCTGACACTTCTTTCAAGCTCATCCTCTTGTGCATGTCCTTATACTTCGAGTCTGCTGAAAATCAATATTTATCCCACTAAGTGGGGTCAGCTACATGAATCATTTTTCTCCGTTGTGTCAGCTACAAGCCTTACAACCACCCCGTAAAAATTTGCAGCCACCCCAAACAAACCTTAGATTGCCCTTCATCTTCTATCATTTTGTGCCCTTGTCCCATGGCTTGGTTGGGCTTTATTGCTTTTTGGTTCAACTTTTCTCATCTTGATCACCTTCTTGTTTCGTGCATTAGTGTAGAAACAAAACTTTGCAAAAGCTGGCTTTTTTCTTCTTCCTATTTATTGTCTTGCTCTTGTTATGCCCACCTTTTTACTGAGGTACTCTTTCATCTTCTTGTTCATATACTTTGCATGGTGGAAGTTAATATGCATTATTTTTCATTATGCTGCTCTAATTTCTCATATTTCACTCCCCGCTCCCCGGCACCCCTCCTCTTTGTCTTCCTGTTGACACAAAGCCGCATTGTATTAAGTAGGATGAGGCAGCATATTTGAATGAGGAAATAGCTCTTGCTTTTATGTTTTATATAATAATGTGGTCATGAAATTCGATTTTTTATTTGATTGTATAGATCATGATTGACTTGGCCTTCTAACTACGTCAACCAACCAAAACTTCTTTGAATGTTATTCTGGAAATTTCCTTTATCAGGGATGGCGGCAGTGTTATTGAAGCTGTTGAATTTGTGCTTCAGAACTTTACAGAGATGAATAAACTGTGGGTCCGAATGCATTATCAGGTTGTTTGGCTAATGGTTTGCATTATATGTCTCCATATTTACATGTTTATCATTTTGCATGGCTTGCAAGCTACACGTAAAGTATGAAAGCTTCACTAAGACCCATATTATTAGTTGGATTATGTTGGGAATGGGTAATTTCCTAATTTGCCCATGTTAGGTGCTAATGAATGCAGACTCAAATCGTGCTTTGTGCTCTGCAGGGACCAGTTTGGGAAAAGGAGAAACGTGTAAAAGAGAGGAGTGAGCTTCGTGATCTTGTAAAATCAGCTTGTCATAAGATAATGAATAATGCAGAGAGTCAATCCTCTTCCATTGTGGACATATTCATTTGTATTTTTTGTTTTCTTTTTAGGTGGGAAAAAACCTCCATGTTCTTAGCCAAATAGATGGTGTTGATCTTGATATGTACAAAGAAAATGTGCTTCCTAGGGTATTAGAGCAGGTTAGAAATTTCTTAATTATTTTGATTTTAATTTATGATGCAATGCACAGTAATTAACTAATTCTTACTGCAACTTCATTAACAGGTGGTCAATTGCAAAGATGAACTAGCCCAACATTATTTGATGGATTGTATAATCCAAGTGTTTCCAGATGAATATCACTTGCAAACTCTTGAATCTTTGTTAGGCGCATGTCCACAACTTCAGGTAGTTTATAGCGTTTTATGACATGATTACCTTTGAGGATCTGTGGGACTGCTTTCTCATCTACTTAAGCCTTAGATTTAATCTTTATCACGTTCTTGAACTATGTTTGTGTTAAGAAAGGCCTAGGTAGACCTAGGAAGACTTGGGCTTATTGTATAAAAAAAGATCTTAATTTACTAGAACTAAATGAAAATATGACACTAAATAGGACGCAATGGGGAAAAAGGATTCATGTAGCCGACCCCACGTAGTGGGATTAAGGTTTTGTTGTTGTTGTTGTTGTTGTTCTTAAACTATGTTTTTTATTTATTTCCCTTTATCGAAATTTTTAAGCAATTTAACTATTATTTTTTCTTGCACAGTTTAGATGGGATTTTAAATGTTCGACTCATTAAGCTTTTTCTTTTTCTCATATGACTGCATGTTTTATAATTTTTACTCCTTTTTTACTTCATTTTGCGTGTTTTATTATTAAATTTCTTCAGTAAAAATTTTGGATGGTACACCGTGTATTTGCACTAATTCTCCCATTAGTGTCTTGATTGTGCTCAATATTCCAGAATTTTGAATTAGTTGTTTGCTTACTGGGAATGAAAAAACAAAAGTTAATGATAACAACATTTTTTAAGTTATAAGTAGTTTAATCTAGATTTTCACTTGTTATGCAGGCCGTTACTCTATTTTGTCCAAATTATTCTTTTAACTATTTTATTGTATATTACTCCTATCCACTTTTTTTTGCATTTCTTCAATACACCCCAGCCACTCTGAATCTAGGCTATTCTGTAAAATCATCAGAAATTGGTTATCTTCTATTGAAACAATTTTGTTTCTCATTTGTTCTTATGCTCTAGTTTTTATTATTACTATTTTAAATTTGCTTCAATTTATGTGGTTATAAATATTAATTGGGTAGTTACCTTCTGTATTTAAGGTTTGTTTGGGGTTGCTGCAAATTAATTAAACGTTGTTGCGTCGCAGCTATGCCAGGAAGCAACTTCCTCACAAAGCTGTTGCACAGAATCTGCACATTTTTTTGTTTTGTGCAGTTGTGCTTAGCTGTTGTTTATGATAAAAAAGACATTTCTGCCCCTATGCCATTGTGTTGTTTATAACAAAATCAGTATTGTTTCCACATTTCATACATGGAACAAATATTCAGTTTGAATACTATATAATAAAATTGACACCTCACTAAATAATGAGTAATACAAAAATCAAATTAAAATAAAATTATTAAAATATCAATTAATAATATCATAATATTGAGTTTAAAATGCATATGATTAATCTCACGAGGTAATCTTTGCTCCAATGAACTCTACACACCTTATCATTATCGGAGGTGGAATCATCAAACTATCCGTCCACCTGAAGAAGTCACCTAGAGCATTGTAGGTCTCGTCACCATCTTATAGAATTTTTCTTTCGGTTCAAGCAATACTTTTCTATCACACAATAGGCCCAAAACATTCCCCCACTTCCAACTTGAATTCTACTAATAGCATCCTTATCTATATCATCATCACTTTGAATAATAGACCCGAGATATCTAAAACATTCACACTTTTTAATGATTTGAACACTCAAAGTTACAACTCTGCTTCTAGAGCTACTACGATACTCAAAGGTAGCTCTTTAGACTTCAATGTAGGCCTCCATAATTCAAGTATTTTCTGAACTATTTCTCTAGTCTTATCCACAAGAAGGATATCATCTGTGAAAAGCACACCAAGACATATCCTCTGTAAATGTCCGGTAAGATCATCCATAACTAAAGCAAAAAGATATGGGCTTAAAGCCAATCCCTGATGTGATCCAATTGAAATCGGAAATTATTTGGTCAATCCTCCTGTTCGAATACAAATAACAACTTCAGCATACATATCTTTAATGATTTGAATATATGTCATATCAACATCTTTCTTCTCTAAAACTCTCTGAATGACTTCTCTTAGAATCTTATCGTAAGTTTTTTCTAAATCAATAAAAATCATATGTAGATCCTCCTTATTCTCTGTGTTCTTCTGCATCAAACCTCTCAATAAATGTATAACTTTCATAGTGGACCTGTCCGTCATAAATCCAAACTGATTATGAAAAATCTTTGTGACACGTCTTAACCAATGTTCAATTACCCTCTCCCATAATTTTAAAGTATTACACGTCAACTTAATTCCTCTATAATGTGCATACTCTTATGTATAGCCTTTATTCTTAAAATGGGGACCAAAATACTCTTCCTCCACTCCCTCAAACATCTTTTTAGTTTTTAAAATAAAATTAAAGAGTTTAGTAAGCCAAGAAACTCCTAAATCTCCTAAATATTTTTACGCTTCAATTGAGATATCATCAGGTCCTACTAATTTTTCACACATGATTTTCTTTAAAGCCTTATCGACTTTCTTTTTACTAATGCGACGGAAAAAATAAAATATTTAATATTATTAACGATATTAAGATCACTAAGATCGATCGTATTTTCTGAAACTTCATTTAAAAATTTATCAAAATAGCTCAGCCACGTAAGTTGACTATTTTGTTTTAAGAAAAATAATTTTTGATCTTATGATTCTTTTGGGGCAGCTTATTTGGTGCTGTGTCGTTTTGAAAAAGCATCAGACCTGTTTGGGTAAACTGTGCTCTGACAGCTTATGCGTTTTCAAAAAGCTGAAAACAGCTTTTTCTCGCCGTACCTGTCTAGGAGTGGTGACAGCTTTTTAACTGCATTCTAGCTTTTCCAAAAAAAATTAAAAATTTGTAATAACCACCGCACAACTTATCAGCAGATTATTTTTAATCAGCTTATCAGCGGATTATTCAATAAGTTGCAGCTGCCCCAAACAGATCTTTAATCTTTAATACACTTTACTTGAGTTAAATCCTTACTTTTCTTCTCTTGACTAGTTTATAGATATATCTTTCATTCTTTTTAATATCCAATCTATTATAAAGATCATTAAAGCATAATTTTTAACATCACAAACTGTCTTCTTAGAGTTCCTACGGGTCACCTTATATTTTTCTCAGTTCTTTAAGCTCTTACATTTAAACCAATTTTTACAATACAACCTTTGATATTTAATCTGCTCTTGCACATTATATTCCACCACCAATTATTTATAAAATTTGTTTCTTCTGATCCTCCAAGTACATCTTTTGCTACTTGTTTAATAAATTTTTTTTATTTTATCCCACATAAAATATGTTTTTTCATGAACATCCCAAATCTTGAAATCTTAAAGTTTACTCATAAAAATAATTTTTTGTAGTCTTAAGTAAATTTTGAAACAAATGAAATAGATTTACCTTGAAATATGAAATATAGTGTTGATCACGTGAAATCTTTACTGATGTGTTTTGGAACGTTTGGTCTTCAAGTCTTATAATTTTTTTATGATAAACCGCTACTAGCATCTAAACCAACCAAGAAATATCTAGTAATTATATTTGGAGTGTTGGAATCACTACATGGTTTCTTTCATAGACTCATTTTGTGACAAAATATAAAGGACTATAGCTAACACATCTCTTGAAGTCATCTTAGATGAGTTATGAAGTCCATGACTTCTGTGCAGTTCTTCTAATAGATTAATAAATATAGATTGTGTCATACGGAACATATTAAATCTTATGGGGGGGGTGGTGCACAAACAACTACCAAATCCACTTGTCATTTATGTACGTGGATGTCATGCAATGAAAGCAAGCAAGATATGAGTTGTAATACTCATTAAATATAATGCAGCTGTAATTTTTTTTTACGCCTTCCTCTATCCATATTATTTATTTTTTATACAACTGACACTTAAATAACACAAAATTAATAACTGATGCATTAAACAAAAATTCCAAAAGCAATGAAAATTGTCCAACAGTTAAATCAAAATAAAACTCAGACATAATGAAAATGGCATAAATAATGTCCAACAAGTAGCGTAGATAATGCCCCCATAACAATCAAACATAATGATGTCCAACAAATAAAATAAAATTCAAGAATCACGATTATCATGGACATAGCATAAATAAGTAACTCTACGGTAAGGTGGCATCGACCTAAAAAACTCTCTCCTGGTTAGGTCTTCTAACAACATTGAAAACTAGTAAAACGACATGTCTTCATAAATTTCTAGAGTTTCTTTCAGAATTCTCATAACTTTTTGAATAGAAATTGCATGTGATGTGTTGGATTCATTGGTACGTGAAGCTATTAACTGTGAAATCTGACTTCTAATGAAAACCCCATCTTTCTTTCTTTTTTTTCTCAACCCTTGGATGTTTTGGAAGACTAGTAAATCCCACTTCATTTAGGTTGGGGTTGGATCCTTCATTGGAGTAAACAATTTGCTCAGCATCTACATGCTTTGCTCTAGCAACATGCTCTTTCTCACTTTGTGCTCATACATGATCATCCGTGATCATAACTTCACTAAACATACGATACAACTTTTCTTCAAGTTCAGGGTCATTGTCACTGAATTTGAACAATTTAGTAGGTGGCATGACATATAAATTAATTCATAATTGATATATTGATGTAATTGAAATTGACATAAAAAAGTTAAAGTATTGGACGATTTATATTTCTCACCTCTAATCTCTCAATCCACATTTCTTTCGAAGCATCGATGATTCGTTTTATCGGATTCCAACTCAAGTCCGTGGATTTTCGCTTTAACTCTTTCCATATTTTCAATCATTTTTCAACTACTCCCATTTGTTTTTCAATTTCATTCTATCATATTCTAAATACCATCTCCTTAAAATAGAGATCTCAAAATATTAGCTTAACATTTTTATCCCTTATGATAGACGAATCAATTTCTTTTATCTTACCCATCACGTCTACTGGCATGAAAAAACAAAAAAGAATAAACGCACCACCACCACTCCATCACCACCTCACCACCACACAATTATCGTCACCACAACACAATTACCACCACCACACCACACCACCACCATCACAGCTCCACCACCACTACCACACACACCACCACTATCATTACTACCCCCACACATACCACCGCTACAACCACACTGTCACTACCACTAAGCTACCACACCACCAACACGCCACCACCACTACCATACAATTGTCATCAACACACCACCTCATCATCACAACCAACACATTACCATCGACACACAATTGCCACCACATCATCAACACCGTCACACAACCAACTCCACATCATCACAACCAACTCTACATCATCACAACCAATACCATCACAACAAACAACCTACCCAATCGAAAAATCGAGCAACAAACCAATATAATTTATTGGGCATACACAGAAGCCCTAAAGCAACAATAAAAACCTATCATAGATAGTGCCTACAAAGCAACAATAGCCATTCATCATACATAGTGACCGCAAACCACCAATAGCAATCACCCCTTCAGTAAACCTTCATATGTCGGAAAAAAAAGAAATGCACTTGTTATATGAAGTTCACATATCCCTACATTCAACCATCCCTCATCTAACACTGCGGTCATCGACCCATCTCCCCCAGAAACCGCAATGAGCACTTGATTTATGAACCGGAAACCGCAAAAAGCAGATCCATGACCAAATAGACCTAAAAATTTCCAAATTTCACATAAATATGATATGAAAACTAATGTTTTCTTCTACCTAAACATTTTCTTCATAGAAAGAAGCCACAAACCACAAACAACAAGCCCGAAACCTCAATGAACCAGAAACGACAAAGAGCATGCCAAAGCTGCAAAGACCTAATAACTTTTAAATTTCACAATAAAAAAATATGTAGTCTGGTGCTTTCCGCTCCCAAGATTCTCAACTTCTCCATAGAGCAAAGCCATAAACCACAAAAATCAAGCCACACACGACAAACACAAACCGCAGAGTTCACAGAAAACAAGAATTGCAATGGAACACTCATAAAATCCATTTCTCCATCGAGCAAAACCACAAACCTCAGAGATCAAGCCACAAATAGCAACCACAGACCTCAAAGGGGAAAGAACATAAGGGCAAAAGCGACGTTAGAAGATACCGGAGGACTGCGGAGAACAAGGGGAACAACGATTCTTGATTGTTCTCCCATCACGAGAGAGGAGGAACCGCTAGGGTAGAGATGCGAGAGAGGAGAAAGAGGAGCGGGGCAGAAAGAATTAATCGCTAGGGCAGAGAGGAAGGGCAACACAGTCGAATGAATCGCGATGAAACGGCCGTGGAGTCAAGCCTGCGGCTGCGTTATAACAAAATTATCCCCATATAAACTGCCGCTCCACTCAAATCAAACAACCAATTCGGCATTTTCGTACCGCATCAATGAAAAAAAGCTACGGCAAACGCACCTTTAATGTAGTTAATTGGTTGCTACAAGTCAAATATTTTTTATGTAGTCATAAATATTTAAAAACGCTTATTTTAAACTAAACTTCTACTCTTTACATACAAGGTTCTGTTGTTATTTTTACGACCCAATTTTGGGCTTAGAAGACGAAGGTAGAAACTGGCAGCTAAATAAAAATTTTAAATACTTACCTGAAAATATATCAAAACAAAATTTTTATAAGCATTTTTGTAATATTATCATCCATCATTTTGATAGAGTCACTACTATATAAATTGCATTTTAAACAAAACTACAAATCTACTTTTGTTTGTCATCCATCTAGACAAACTCTTTTCTCCCACTCATTTTCATTTAGTTCTTAAAACTTATCCTGCAATTTTTTAATTAAATAAATTGATTGGTCATAAAGACAACTCTATGGGCAGCTCTCTATTGGTAACATAAAGGTATTTAGAAAACATCATGTCAACATAGATGAATAGGTTTATAATCTTCGGCAATTTATTCTATTCAAAGATGGCAATGTAAAAGATTTTGAAGCATTTGCTTGTATGCTAACAATATGAATTAAAAGAAACTATATTTTAATTTCTATGTAATATAACTATTACGGGAGCACTATCTAGTTATATTATTTATGATACTTCAATATCCGTATTCTTTTTCAAAAATGTGAATAAGCAAATTATTTTGTGCATTGATATGGTAGTTTTTTCAACTAACACCATAAGTAGTTTGAATTTCTATAGTCAAAATACAGATATAAACATTTATATATAAGCTATTTTCTGTACACGATCTACATCATTTAATATCCTTCTATAATAAACATTGCATAAAATGTGCAATTTAATCATGATAAGAAACTTATAGCGTTTATTTCAACATAAATATTATCTTGTAAGTAAATTGCAATAACATTTTATTAGATAATACCGATATTAGTTAATGCATTTAATCCATTGGAATTAATTTTATCATTATAATTTAGAATTATAAGTACCCATCTCAACTTCAGAGGACTTGCTATTGTACTTCCTTAATTGAAAACATATAATTTAACATATGAGAAATTCAGACTTACTAATCCTATTTAAATTATATATATTTAATTTTTTATACTAAAATTGACCACATTATTTAACAATGTTTTTCTTTCAATTAAGTATGTAAATTTGATTAATTTTTACCCTTAATCAAATACATAAGCTATAATGAATGTTTGAAATATAGTTAAATATTACCATTGATTTACCTTGCAAGTTTATTTTAAATCTCAATAAAATAACATTCAAATTTGTATTTCTTTGCTTGATTAGATTTTAACCTTATATATACAATGGGCGTGTGCACACATACACAATGAAGTCTCTTAATCTTCCCGTCCAGCCAAGTAAGAATATTCTCACAAACTTACAAATTGCTCTCATTTAAACAAAACATTTGAATAACAATCCCAGTCTCCCACTTTCTCTATCTCACTACTCACGCTTCTGCTCCCTCTCTCTTTCATTTGATCCCCCTCTGTCTCCCCGCTCTTAGCACGAGTAGGCTAATAGTTGATTCCAATGAAGATATTATTGCTGGTCCTTTTTTTTTTTAATATTTTTTATTAAATATTGGGTATTTACTTTTATAACTTTTGCTTACATAACTTGCATACACAGGCATACGTACAAGATTTTTATCTTCTTCAAGCTTAGCTCAATTCAATGCATTTTCACTCTTTTGGAGCCGGCCCGGCCCTTGTTAATCAGCCTCATTTCTTTACATGCCAAATCTGACAAAAAAAAAAAACAATTTTCTTTTCACTCATTATTGTATCTTCCGGCATAATTCCAATTCCTATTTAAGAGTGGCTTCATTTAGAAACTCTTTTTACATTGTTTTGGATTTTAAATTTGTTTTGCTTGGTCTGCTGTTATCATTTTGATTTTTAATGATCTATTTATCTTGTAATTGTTGAGACATATCCATAATTTTTTCTCTTGAATATTGCCTAAGCTATTCAAGGGTTCATGACTGCATCCACGTTGAACTTACCTAGTAATAATGATATAGTGTTTCATTGTTATTTTTGGATGATCTTTAAAACTTAATTTTATTCTGTTGCAGCCCACTGTTGATGTTATGACAGTTCTATCTCAGCTCATGGATAGATTATCCAATTATGCAGCCTCTAGTACGGAGGTGATTTTCAAATGCTTCAGTTGGACACATTGCTGTAATCATTGTTTCTCATGCATGAATAGTGCAGGTTTTACCAGAATTTTTGCAAGTAGAAGCTTTTGCCAAATTAAGCATTTACATTGGAAAGGTAACTCTCGTGTTTAAACCACTTGTCATATGATTATTGTAGGAAATGAAGCAGTATTTGGGGATTTTTTTTTTCTTTGCCTTTAATTATTCAACTTTTGCTTGTCATTGATGTGCTGTACTGTATTTTTATGTTTTGATGAAGTTGAATGTAAACTCTTTGATATGGTTTACCTTGTAATTTTTGTGTAATGCATGCCTGTATGGCATGGAATAAGCAATTCATGAAAATGATGCAGTAAGAAGAAAAAAGCAGCAACAGAAAGCATGAGATAAAAATAACTTGAACATGCTGTATGATTTAAAAGCCCTTAGGCTTTGGCCTTTTTCTTACAGAAAGTAAATCCACCACCACATGACTTTATAATTCCTAGCCGGTATCATATGTTCCATATTTAAGAGTATGCTTCTATGGGATTTCTTATACTGAACAAGTATGTACATAAATAATTCCATTTAGGCTAATATAGTGTTTCTTTTCGACTGTAAATTATTTTTCTTGTCTTCTCCATTTCATTCTTATGCTGTATTGACAGGTCATTGATTCGCAGCCTGAAATGCCAATTTTTGGTGCCATCGGCTTATACGTATCACTTCTTACATTTACTCTGCATGTCCATCCAGATCGTCTTGATTATGTGGATCAAGTTCTGGTAAGTCCATTTCCTTTAATCTGTAATGCCTCGCATGCAAGCAAAATGGTTAAATCTTTTTTACATTGATAAAAGGATTCGTTCGCTGTTGTCATTGCATGGTTTATTCAGCTGGACTTGATTCTTTGGCAGCAAGCTTTTAGAACATATCAATTTATTTTGAAAATTTATAGCAGTTATGATAAGCATCCCATGAACTATATAGCCCATAACATGTGCATGCTTTTTATCAGGGAGAGTGTGTTAAGAAATTATCAGGAAAGTCGAAGATTGAGGATAGCAAAGCAATTAAACAAATAGTTGCCCTTTTAAGTGCTCCACTGGAAAAGTACAATGATATAGATACTGCTTTAAAGCTCTCTAACTATTCAAGTGTCATGGAGCACCTTGATAATGCTACAAAGAAAATCATGGCAGTGGTTATTATTCAAAGCATTATGAAGAATAAAACCCGCATATCTACTGCTGATAAGGTAAGTTTATGTGCTAATCCTTCTTCCACTGATTATTTTAAAACCTGATTGCTTTGTGTCTTTGGTAGGTGGAGGCATTGTTTGAGTTAATAAAAGGGCTTATCAAGGATATGGATGTGACTCTGGACGAGGTCAATCTTTGTTCTGTCTTTGTTATTTAATTTTTTTTTTCTCCTTGCAATTGGTATTAACTGTAATCCTTGCCTCCTAGTCTTTATATAATTTAAACCTTAGTTGATAGTGAATACATAAATCTAATTAAAGGTTTCCTGACATTTCATTACCCCCTGCTTGCAGCTTGATGAAGAGGATTTCAAGGAGGAGCAAAATTCTGTTGCTCGCCTCATTCACATGTTATACAATGATGATCCAGGGGAGATGCTGGAGGTACCTTCTCCTTTTATGAATATTCTTATCTAAGATCTTTCATGATTGTATATGAGGATGCATTATCCATGATGTGGGTTTACCACAATACTATTACTGCTACAGAATCCCGGAAATAGTTATCATGGGAGACACGTTGAAATAATCTTGTTTTCCTTTCTCATACTTTCTTTCTTATTATCCTTCAATCTTTTTCAGCCATTTCCTATATATTTGTTGTATTAGTGTTGGAAAGCAGTTTTTGCCGTGAGTTTGTTTAGGACAGCTACCGACGTCCGTTTCTCCCTTCGAGAATTGTATCCAAGAAATTAAGTGGTGCTCTAGTTGTATCTCTCATCCGAGGTGTTGTTTATCTTTTCTATTCCCCATCTACATCCTCCCCACACGGCTCCCCTCCGTCGTTTTCTGCTACGGCAGCTCGGAACAGTTGTCGACGCTTTTCTTCCAACAATTTCTATATTCCAGCCCACATTTTCTACGATTTCAGCGTCCCGCTTGCTATCATTCCTGTTCCATCCACCATAAATTCTTTCCGCTTCCTGCCAATTGCTTTCCCAATCATCTCGGGCCACATCTCTGCCACCTAACCGCTGTCCCAACCCTTCTGCACCTCCTCCTTGCAACATACATTGTTCCAGCCCTGGGAACCCAAATTCTGCCTTGTTGCCACCTAGGTTATCAAGGATCTGTTGTTCTGTTGTCTTATCCACCCATTTATTCCACGCTCTCAGCTTACTGCCACCTTCCAAGCCCCCGCCAATCACCACCATCCCCTCAAGGTTCCATCATAGTTTGATTATTTGTATTGTGTATGTTATTTTTTAGATTTTTAGGTGGTCTTGTTGGATTTTCCCTTTCAAGTGTGTTTATTGTAACCTCCTTTTTTTTCAGTAATAATATTTATTTTTTTCTAGTGTGATTTGTGTTAACTTCGGTATCAATTGGTATTAGAGTTGTTTTCCCGCTGCCAACTGCCCCAAACAACCAACTGATATTGTTTGGGTTGTCAACCCTTGCTGGCCTGCTATTCCAGCTATTCATAATCGTTGTCGCTCTTTATCTGTAGCCTGGAAACCTGTTTCCAACCTCGCTGCTACCTCACTAAGCCCTCTAACCGTCACCAACTTCACCTGAAATTTGCCTTAAGGCTTGTGCTTTGTATATTCTACGAGTTGGTGCAACTAACCAAATGATAGAGACTGCACAGAAAAGTAAATTTACTAATTGGCCTAAGATAAAATGAGAGATGCAATGTCAGTTTCTACCAGCTCATTACAAATCGGATATTTAGACTCTAGCTTTGGAAGTGGAGAGACCTCATCGTTCGGCAACCACCACATCTTACATGCAGGGTTCAACCCCAGGATCTTATAGGCACAATACACCTAGAGTTGTCCTCGCCTAAGGAGAAAATCTATGTCCTCTTTTAAGGAGACATTAATTCAGAATGGAGAACAAAGGGTATCAATCCGCATTTCCAAATCCAATCCAGCTAAAACGTATTTCTAGTGCCATAGATTTTAACATATTGAAGCAGATTGCACGACTAGGGAAATGCTATATTTCACTGTGCAAGGAGTTGTTGGAGAAAGTGACAAATGACACAGTAGACACTGAAGATGATTATGATGTAAAGGAGGAGTTCCAACTTTCAACTAATGAGGAAAAGATGCACATAGTTCCAGCTGAGCCCATGAGAAAGACTCCAACTAAATTAACAATGATTGTCTGAGGCAATCTTGAGTTTGAGGAACCGACACCAGAGACATAGCAACCCCAAATAAAAAATATATATATAGAATTTTCAAATCTATAGACTGCTTTCTGAGTTGCCCCTACTGAGGGAGGTCCATCATATCAAGAATGATGTTCTTTTGTGCCACATCTGGAAGATCATATGGAGTTGTATGGATATTAGATTCAATTCAATAGTGTACCCATCATCAGATGTCAAGACAGGAAAGATGAACAACAGCTTTGAAATTGTCTCTGGAGCTTTTTGGGGAATAAAATTCTCCAATGGGATATAGGTTCTTTCAGAGAAGGAGAAAAGTTCTCTCCTAAGTGGTAATACTTCAGTGTGGTCCAGCTTGCCATGAATTTCTTTTCGAAGTTAATTCCTCGTTACATACTTGTTTATCGGATACACTCGGATGAGTATGAATGATGGAAAAAATCTATTACAGATTTAATGGCTCAAGGCTTACTTCGTGAGGATACCCATCCATATAACGTTCTAGTTATGATTGTGCCAAAACAAGATGAATACTTATTATATCAAAATGTGTTTTAGAATGCTAACGCCTATAGGATTAACTTACAAGAAGATTGCAATGATTCCACCACCTTCAATGTGGCCGACCTTATGTCATACGATGAAAAGATAAAAGCTTTAATAGATGATGTCGAAGCTCCCCCTAATCCCCGGAGATAGACATGGGAGCTTATCACCGTACTGTAGTTGTTACAGTATCGTGAGAATAGTTATATCGGGAGACACCAAATTAATCCCGTTTTCTTTTTTTTTTTGTTTCCTTTCTTATTATTCTTCATTCATTTTTAGTCATTTTCTATATATGTGTTGTATTAGGATTTGGAAGGTAGTTTTTGGTGCGAGTTTGATTAGGACAGCCTTCGAGAGTTGTATATGAGGAATTGGGTGGTGTTTTGGCTGTCTCTCTCTCTCTCAATGTGGTGTTTATATTCCTATTCTCTTTTTGCATCCTCCCCACACTAGTACCCCCCGCCATTACTTGTTGCAGCTGCCCAGAACAATTGCCGATTCAACTCTTTTTGCAGTTTCTGCATTCCAGCCCACATTTCCTGTGATTCCAGCGCTCCTGCTTGCTGCGGTCACTGTTTCAACCACCGTAAATCATCTTCCCTTCCACCTAACCGCTGTCCCAGTCTTCTCGGGCCACTTCCCTGCCACCTAACCGCTGTCCCATCCTTCCCTATGCCACATATTCGTTGTTCTAGCCCCCGGCAACCCAAATTCCACCTTGTTGCCGCCCATGTCAGCAAGGACTACTTGTTCTGTTGTCATATCCACTCACTTCCTCTGTGCTTCCACCTCACCGCCACCTTTCTAAGCCCTCGTTGATCACCGCCACCACCCCGAGATGTCACCTTAGTTTGATTATTTGTGTTTTGTTTGTTGCTATTTCAGATTTCCTGGTGTTGTGTTGTATTTTTCCTTTCAAGTGTGTTGATTATAACTGTCTATCTGTTTTCGGTATTAATATTTATTTTTCATGTTGTGGTTTGGGTTAACTTCGATCAATCTATTTGCGTGATAATTTAAAAATTGATAACTCATACATGGATGCAGTTTTCTTTTAATTATTTTTCATTATTGTCTTTCCTCAATCCCCAACATGGTTTATATTGTCTTTAGATGCTTGTTCAAGTTCTATTTAATTCCTTTTTTAGTTTAGGTGTAACTTGCAGAATAAAGTTCTCCTGTAAGGCGCCGCTGGTCAAATAGAAGCATGCCATTTCTTGATTTGGCTGTGATGGCTTTTTGTTCTTATTGTTCTTAGTTAAATTTACGAGGTTAATAATTGTGTCTGAAACAAATAACTAGCTTGATAATCAATCGGATTTTAATCTGCTCCTCAAATCTGAATTTCTTTTGCTTCTATTCATAGATGGCTTGTTAAAAGTAAGTTCAATCCAACCCAATCGGCTTGATATATGGTCAAATTTGTTTTTAAGCCAACAGCTACACAGAGTTCGACCTGATACATTAATGTTTAGAATTTATTTTTAAGCCAAAATGTTTAAGTTTATGGGGGAGGGTTAAAAATTAGCATTTCTATACCAAAATATTTTTAACTTTACAATGTGGGACTTAACCTAGCTTAAGGTAATGTGTGAGAGAATCAGAGTTTGTCCTGTTACATTAGTTTAAAAGTTATTTTAAAGCAAAAGTTTAAGTTTATGGGGGAGGGTTAACCATTTAGTATTTCTATACCAAAATATTTTTAATTTTACAGTGTGAGTTTGAACTTAGAACTTTCAAATTTCTTAATGGTCTCCCTCACATTGGTGCTTGCCAAAAAGGCCATCACTTCCCCATAGATGAAGATTTTATCACGTATCATTTCTTAGGAGCCCACTCAACCACATGGATTTATGGTGATGTTAGTCGCCATTGAACTTTTTTCAACAATGATAAATATCGCCCAAGGTCCATGGGAACCATAATCTTCATAAACTATTTAATCACTACAGAATCAACGGCTTTTCTACAACCTGATAGGTAGGATGAGCCAAAAGGAGGCTGAAGTGGGTTTAATACACCAACGATCAAGATCAAGCTCTTTTTCAACACAAAAGTTTAAGCCTATAGGTGAATGCTAACTGATTTTTTAATGCCAACCTAACTTATTTGATCCGGGACTAAATTTAAGCTGCATGTGCCTTACCATCTTGAAGAGCCTAGTGCAAATAACTCTTATAGAACCTAGAGGTGTTGGTAATAGTACAATAATATCCTTTAAGCAAACCACAGGGCTCCTTGTTAATGTCCCGCTTCAATAATAATTAAATTACAGAAACCTATTAGCTGGCTCTGGATCCCTCTCTATTAATTTAGCCGCAATCTCAAGCCATGCGCTTTGCTGAATTTATTCTGCACCCTTTGTCGCAGAGCTTGTTTCACTGACATGCCCAAGACTCTCATGCAACATGCCTGCTATCTAAGGACATATTTTAAGGATTTAAAGTGGTTATGTGAAATCTAATATGGTATTAATTTAAACTCAGATTTATCTAAAACAACAAATTATTCTAGCAACCTCTTATTTAAAATCTGCGTGTCCTATTAAATCATAAAGTCAAAAAATGCCAGCACTTTCTGCCTTCTCGAGGCAATTTTTTTTTTGTTTCCAGTGATAATGTTCAGTGATGCTGCTTTTTGAGATTTAAACTTTTCCAGCAAATCTATGTTTTATTTATTTATTTATTTATTTTCTCTGGTTATTTATTTTACATTC